GAAAATGCTCTTATGAATTCCAAGAAGAAAAAAAAATGTAGTGAAATATCCTTAAAACAGTCAAGAGTCTAGACAGTTTTGTCTTCTGTTGAAGTTCTGTTTTTTAATTACGTTCTCCATGAAAGGAATTTACTTTTAATGAAACTGAATAGCACACATAATTCGTAACATGGACTATAATTTAATGAATAGTATTTATTATTATTGTTCACTCTTTATTACTATCATTTGAATGGAATTTTGATCATTAAATCCATGCTATTTCTCTGGTAGAAATTCCTGGATAACGTATGAATGTTTACAATTTTGATGTATTTGAAGACTTGGGTACCTAAAATTTGTCAATGTGAAATTACTTTTGAGATTTGGTCGTAAATAGAAATGACAGCATATGTTGAAATTAAATTCAGGGGTGCGGCTTATACATGCAAATTATTAAATAGGTGTATACAAACAGCTGGCAACACAGCAAAATGTATTTAATGATTGAGCATAAAATACATTGTTGGGTGAACGTTTCCTAGTATTGTACTAGTTGTGGTTGCTGGTCATTGTGACCAGTTGCATGGGATACTAGTTATTAGTGATAATTGATACTGGTAGTGCAGCAAACTACTATAGTAATCGACAGGGACAGTGACTAAGGAGTGCTAAGGACACATGTTTCACTGTCACAGAAACATGTTCCTTTTGATTGAAAATTAAAAAAAAAAAATAATAATAATAATGTATGGTAAGTACTGTTTTTAGCTTAACTGCTTTCACACCTGCAAAATGGAAAAATATTATATACAGGCTATCTGTTAGTTATCCTCAAGATTTTTTTTAATTAGGCATATTTAGAATATCGTATTTCTCCTAAGAGAAATTATATATAAAAATTGAAGAAGGTTTTATATATATAAATATGCATGTTTATAGTATAGAGAGTACTACAGTACAATGCAGAAATATTCCATAGTGCTTTGTCAGAAATATATGTGCCAACCAAGTATTGGTCTTTCAAAAAAATATCTCTTGACCATTTCGTTCTTTTTCGTTTTTTTTACCTTCTTCCGCTGCCTCTTGGCTAATGAGAAGGGCAGATTAAAGATCATTCTGTTGAGCCAGTAAAACTTTGTGGCGAGCTGAAAAAAACCATGAAACAAAGAAAAAAACAAGCAGAGCGAACGCGGGAAATCAATCGAGCATGAGAACAGCACGGGAAAGTTGTAGACATTCCACGCACGCGTAAATTTAGCTTCTCTCATTGGCCACTGCTTACACCTCGTTCTCGCAGGTGTGAACAGGTCGCCCCTATTTTATGCCTTTATGACTATGCCTCTATGCGCTTTACGCCCACGTCTGAACGCACCTTAATGGTCCATGGGAAGTATTGGGAACAGACCTCTTTTACTTTCAAGGAAGGGATTATCTAATGGTTATAGATTATTTTAGCAAATATGTTGAAATTGGACATTTGGAAGATTTCTCAAGTGTAGCAGTGAGAAAGCAATTGAAATCAATTTTTGCAAGACATGGTATTTCGAAAATAGTATATTCGGATAATGGTCCACAATATAATTGCAGGAAATTTAAAGACTTTGCAAGAAGATGGAATTTTGAAACCAGAACTTCAAGTCCAAATTACCCACAATCTAATGGAATGGTTGAAAGACATATTCAAACTGTCAAGCGATTGTTAGAAAAAGCTGTAGTTGACAACAAGGATCCTTATTTAGTATTACTGGAATATTGTAACTCTCCTATTTCAGATGAAATTAAGTCACCTTCAGAATTGATGTTTGGAAGTAAAGTAAATGGATTGATGCCTATAAGAGAGAATTTCGTACAAGCTAAACAATATGAAGACCATAAACAACATTTACTGAAGAGACAAACTTTATAAAAAAGCTATTATGATAGAAATGCAAGACCGTTAAAACCACTGAAGGTAGGAGATCATGTTTACATAAATGAGAAAGGGAAAAAACTAAATGAAAGATGAGAAAATTATAGAAGAAAGCAGAAAGACCACGTTCATATAGGATTATAAGAATACAGATGAAAGAATTGTAGAAAGGAACAGAAGAGACCTTCTTAAAGGAAGCTAATCAGAAAGAGTTTGCAATACAAAAGCAACTGTGAGAATGAAGTTATAGATGAACACGAGATACCTGAGAATAGCAAGGAAGCACTACAAATTTAGATGTGCTTGTAAGTCCTTCAAAACCTAACCAGAAGTGTTGTGTCACCAAATAGTGAAAGAGGTATAGTATCATCAAATTTTTCAAATGGACATAACTACTGTTACTCGATCTGGTAAGGACTGTTAAGAAACCTTATTATTTAAAATAATATGTTAATGTTACTACTATTATTATTTTTTTGATAAAAAAGGGAGATGTTATATATGTAACAGTAACTGTATCTATTATTACCTTTAATCATAACTGTAATATAGAATATTAGATGAGCAATGTATAATAAATGATGTTTGTGTACATCTTGTAATCATCACTGAGCACATACCCAACATATATATAAAATACAACACAAACTTCAGGAAAACTGAAGAGTCACTAGTACATTTGCCAAAAGTTGTGTCTGGATATTTGTATCATTAAAAAAAAAAAAAAAAAAAAAAAAAAAAAAAATTCAAATAAAAAAAATGTTTCAAATAATGCAACAGTGATATTATAGTTTTTCATAAAAATGGTTATTTAATATAAATATAAATAAATACAGTATTTCTGGAAATCAAAATAAATAAGGTATGCAAGATTTAATTTTGCAAATAAATTTTTTCTTATTAAAATGAAAATGATTACCTCATTATAGGTCAGTTAAAATGGTCGTAACTGAAGTAAGTTTTGATCAGGTTCAGTTTTTTTGAAATTTTCAGAAGATAGTTCCTAAATTGTTTTTATATTGAAAACATGAGATTAATGTTTCAGTCATTAACATTGTGAGATTAAATGTTTCAGTCTTTGATCTTTTAGAATTTTTAATAAGCAGGGTTTGAATTTTTTCACCTGTATAATGCTAGTAATTAATAAATACAGTACAAAGTCCGAAATCCGGACCTGCATTTTTCGAGTATGATCTAAAATCCGGACCTAAAAACCACCAAAAACGTTTTTCTCATAGGTTTTATGCATGCACATTTGATTACCCCCTCTGCGCATAATAAAACATCTGCAGAGTCCCGATTCCTAATTTCACTTCGACACTAAATAAAGTAACTTGTTATTGAAGAAACCATCATTTTAGCATAAATTTGTATGATCAGTAATTCGGCTCTGTTTCTGCATATCTGCTTGGCACACATCTCAAATCGAAACATTCCACATAGATACATCGTTGATCTGACACCAACCTGGTGAATCATTATTTATTATACTTTCCTTTCATCACTGCATGTTTATTAAAACATGGCAGCTTGAGTAATGACTCATGTAGCAATCCCTAAACAATTTTTTGTTAATAATTGAATAATAAAGGAGTATGGTAACCTTTCATGTTGATATTACGCTTAGCGATGATTACAGATTTAAGTTAAATGCATTAAAAAGTGTTGACGAAGAAAAGTTTACCAAAAATTTCTTTCCATATGCTAAATATAGATTTTGTTGATGATACTCGTAAACCCAAAGATTACATTTAGGGCTATTTGAATTAAGAATGACTGATTTGTTATTCACATAAACCAAGTCCCAGCGCCAGGGCTCGTATGGCTGCACCAAGTCACAGAATTTAGGACCCATAAGAGACTGCATCAGGTGGTAAGATATCTAGTGCCGGCCCTCAATAAGGCTTAAGTGTATGTGGGAATTTATTCAGAAATCTGATAAGCCTTTAAGCATGTGCAAGAAATAGACATAAGTATAAAAAATAACTAATACAATTCAGTCTCAGTGTGTGATATAAGCAAGATAAAATTTAACGGAACAACTTGTCATTAGTCGTCAAGCTGATGATGCATAGCCAAATATATATAGCTAAACTTGATGATGATTGCCGCTAATTTTAAAGGTTTTCAGATATCGCAAAACAAAGGTGAAATTTTCCAATTAACAGATTTTGTAAAGAAATATGGAGAAGCGGTAATAAATGAAGATGATATAAAAGAAGTTTTTAATTGTGATGACAATGCTTCTCAATCATCAGTCAATTAATAAATGGCGAAATCTGTAGTATGGTTCTAGATCCAGAAAATACCGCTACCAATAGTGAAGAAAGTGACAGAGAAGTTACTGAAAACGAGAAAATTTCAATTGACAAGTTAGTAGGAATTCTTGAAACAGTCATTACAGGACTTCAACAATGTTACTGAACAAGAGATTATGTCTGTCTACAGAATTAAAGAGAAAGTATTAGCACAAAAAACAAAGCAACTTAAACAGCTTACATTGAAAGAAATGTTTAATAAAATAAAAATAATAAATATTAAGCTTTTTTTTTGTAAATTTTGATACCCTTTAGATCATAAATCATAATTTTATATTTTTAGTTTTATAATTTCTACATGCCATCTTACTAGATTTAAACTGATGATCTAATATTCGGAAAAATCCGGAATCGCCGAAGTCCCGGCGAGTAATTTGTTACGTAGGAATGCAGTATAAAGGTTTTATTGGTCACAAAGTTTTGGGAATGCAATTATGAAAACAGGCATTTCAGTAATTATCAGAATTCCACCTTTATTTGCCATTTAATAACAGGCTTACTGTATTATGAGAAAATGTTAGTGGCCCTGTTTTGTAATTTTGTTTCTGGAAAAAAAAAAGAGATGTAACCTCCCAATCCCTTGAGCTTTTATAATTTTACTGAAATTAATGGCATGTTAAAACTTGTCAATTATATTAATTGCAAGTTGACACGCAGGCCATGTATTTGTTAATTGAAATGTTGTCTCTTAAAGAATTATATAAAAAAAATCCATAATCATTTATAGCTAATTGTTCTCATTATCTGTGGTTCATCCTTTTTATGGTGTATTTCAAATCACTTCTTTTTAGGTCGCTATTTTATTGCTTGACACTCAAGGAGCCTTTGATAGTGCATCTACTGTGAAAGACTGTGCAACTGTATTTGCTCTTAGTACAATGATAAGTTCTGTCCAGGTATTGCCATATTTCAAATTAATGAAATCCTTGTTAATTGTAAAGTAATTTATCTATTCATGTAATTTTCATTTCTGACTATTGTTGTAATTGCAGATTTAGGTGGCATTCTTGGTGATATATTGTTACTTCAATTAGCTAGTTGTAGTGTTGTTTTGAGGTATTACTAGAGGGTATGCAAGTTCTATGAATGAAAAATCAAATTTTTGCTCCTTATTATGTCATGGAAAGTAAGCACATTTGCAATTTCATTTTAAAAACTTGGTTTGCTTTTCCATAGAATTTGAAATTAAATCTCAACAGCTGAGCAGTGCGATGTATAAATGCATTACCTATATTTAGTTATTTAATACTTGCTGAAAAATTGATATGAATCTGATAAAGTACTGTTTCTTAGATTTTGGTCCCATTTGTTGTTGGAAGTTGTCAAGCTTTTAGGCAAATTGAGTGCATCATGGATGAATAATTCAGAAAGACTTTTTCAAAGGCATGTTGTAAGACAAATAACTTTTGTGTATTTTGCCATAATAATTATTAGCCTGATGAGACCATGGGATGAAACAAATTGTTGAATATTTTATTGGCATTAAATTGCTTGTTTTATTAGCAGTAGAAGAACATGAAAAAAGTATTGGGATTGCTTGAATGTTTGAAATAGCTAAAATTCTTGTATCTGTAATGTTTGGGAATAGAAAATGTGTGTTTGAACATAATGCAAGGCTGTATAAAATATGTTGTGATAAAGCTCTGATTCTTGACTTCAGAAATTATGTTATCTTCCATATTTTCTTCAGTTCAGGTTTGAATAGATATATATTTTTGAATGTGATGAAGGGCATCTACAGAATCAACGAAGAGCAATAAAAATTAAGTTTGTGGGCATTTCACATCCAACAATAGTGCCAAGAAAAAAGAAAACAGTATAAGTAAACTTACTTCTGTTGGCAAAAGTGCTGCATGTGTATTAGCATTTTGATAAATTCATTTTTCTATTTTGCAGATTATATGTTTTGTTTTGTTTTGTTTTCTGTCATGTAGTATATCAGAACTTTCATGTGTAATTTACATTTCACTACTTCCTTCCACAATCAAAATTTAAATTCAAGGATAAATTTTATGCTTCAAAGAAAAGCAAAAACTGGAGTATATCCTATTTTAACTGAAATTTCTTTGTTACTGTTATGCATGCGTTATCAATAAGATATTATATTAGTTTATCTTGTGTACCACAATGAATTTAAAATTTAATGAGAAAATTGATGAAATTATGGCTAAGTAAGTAAGTATAAGGTCAGTCTCTCTCACTAAATATCAATGTGTGTGTGTAAGGGTAAATAAATAAAGTAAAAAATTGTAACTTAAATTAGCAGTAGTGATGTAATTCTTCATTTTAGTTATTTTATCTCCCCTTTCTGTTTTAAAAGTAGAAACTGTTTATATTAATTTTTCTGGACTGTACCTTTCCAAATTAATGTATCTAATGACTGTTACATAACATTCTGATGAAAATAACTTACATAAGCGTCCAACCAATAATAATTTTAGAGCTTTATTAATTATCCAATTAAAATGAAATCAAAATTGAAACTAACCCACTATGAATTGAAAGGTTTCATTCTGAATTCATCACACTTTCCTTCAGCATCTGTTGCAGCTAAGTTGCTATCGCACTGTTTTCTTCCTTCTGCAATAGTATCAAAAATGTAAATGTTATGTTGTGGAATGGGCATGATTAATGTGACAGTATGTTTGTGACCACATACTATTTAACTACAACAAAAGTAGTCTGTTACAACAGCATCTTATTGTGTCTGCACGGCTGAGTGCTTCAATAACTATCTGCATCATTCCCAAATCATCTCATTTTTATTATGAAGAATACTTATGGCCATAAATCATAGTTAATGCTATTTATACAATGCTGAAAGCCAGTTACCTTGTATAAAGAACAGAGGTTTTTCAATCTCTGTTGTATTTAAGTTTCTTGGCCATCAATCAGCTTGTAATTATTCTGATTCACATGCTTTTTTTCTAAAAAGGCTTTTCTATCGCTTTTTCTGTCTGAAGGGTGGAATATAAAGGATTTTAGAAAATGTGCAAATAAAAATTATAATTTAAATTAGCAATAGCTCCATAGTTCTTCATTTTAATTTGTATATCTCTCCTTTCTGTTCTAAAGGTAGAAATTGTTTATATAAACTTTTCTGGACTGCATCTTTCATCATGCCATCTTGTATAAGTATAGAATTACTGATATTTTTCACCAAATATATGCATGTATATAGCAAGAAAGAAAGTATACATTTACATACATACATACATAACATGTAAAGGGAGGAAAATCACTGGCCAGGAAGCACAAAAACATCTGATGCTGTATTATATTTTATCCTATCATATATATTTGTATAAGATTTTCTTTATTAGTGTCATTAAATTTTGAGCACTGTATATAAATTAAAATATGAAATCAGCCTTGAAAATGCTGCTTTCCTGAAAATATTGAAAAAGTTAAATGCTAAATTAAAACAAGATTACTGTTTTCCAGATTTATGAAACTGAAATATGAAACTTGTTCATGAAAGTCTTGGAATCGTATATTAATACTTTTTAATTATAGAAAGAGTAGATACTTTAAAATAAACTTTCTTAACTGATGATCTGTGTGAGAGCATTGATATATTTCTTTATAGGTTTTTAGGTGTATGCTGAGTTATGTATGAAAGTCTAAAATAATTCATTAAGTGGTGATTCTGAATTCATTTGTCAATGTCATTGATCTAGGGTAGCAGAAATGCATGCACTTCCGGTAGCCTTCTCATTTTGTGAAAAGAATAAGGAAATTTTTTGCATCTATGGGTTTCACTGAAGCTTAGTTCATGATTATTGTTTGATTAATAACTATCAATCAGATTCTGTTACAATACTAGCAATAGAGGTTCGCCATAAAAGAACTTGACCAACTGAATTAACGAACGATAGTTCTTGCTGTGAATAAAAGAAGCAGCTGCTCATTTTAATTATTTACCTATAGAATTCAGTTTAAATTCGCCTTTGTCCATGATGTTAGCTTTATGAATGACATCCTGTTATATCTGTGTGATTGGTTAGCTATTGTGGGGGAAATTTTTATTATCATTTTTGATTATCTACATCCCCCAAAAATGTCAACATTTCAGCATCGATTTTGTGAATGGAAACAAGCTTTTGTTTGGCTATCTTTACTTCTCATAGATACTATTCTTTTCATTAATAATAATAAAAAGAATCATTTTATATGAAACGAAGTTACTCTTTGGTTATCTGCAACCCCAGTTTTAATATTCAGATGATTTATGGTGTTTTTGACATAGTTTTAACTACATATAAGCCAATAGTCAGCCTGCGCATGAGTTTGAATGTATGTTTGAATTGAAGTACTGTACATTTAGCTCATAGTATCCACTGGCTGTAAAAATATAAATACTAAGGATATAGATTGCTTTTTCTCTTAAAATATCTTGTTTCTTATTAAATACTTTTTTCTAATGAACAATACTTAAGGGTTGTTGCTGAAACTAAATGCTTTTTTCCAATTTACAATTCTCCAAAGAGTTGCTGACTTTAGTAATGCATATGAATTGTAACTATAGTCAAATAAACATTTTTATTCCAACTGATATATCTCTAAGTTTTTGGCAACTAGTCACTGAAATGCTTAGCAAAAGATTTCTCTTTTTCTACACTCCTGAGATTGCCATTAATTGGTCATGTTATTTTATGACAATCCTGCATGCTCAAGATTGCAGTGCGAGGTTCGAATCCCGCGAATGGGCTGGCTGCATGGGCGTTTTCGTGGTTTTCCCCATGTGTAACGTGTATATGAGCTAGTCTCCCTTAGAAAGTCCTCCACGAAGGCATCCCTCCCCTTAGGCAGATAGCCCTAGTGTGCTTTGCCGTAATCTTAATAAACCAAACCAAACCAAGATTGCAGTGCAAATTGATCAGTAGTTATTTATCAAATAATCACCACTGCATGGTTATACTAAATGATGGAGTAATATGAAGTATAGGTAACCCTCATGTAACATGGTAGATAGGTTCCTAGAAAATGCCTTGCTGTATGATATCCAGATCGAGTACAAAAAGGGGGGTTACATTCCAAAATCTTATTAAAAATAAATATTTTTTAATTCTACATAAACAACTTAATTTTATTAAAAATATATGTGTATGTACAGCACAAAACAAAAAATATTGTATATTTTAGTTTAATAAATTTCTTCGTTGTTGCTCAGTATGATCAACCAAGAGCGTTTTTTGATGGAATGAAATTGCATTCACTTTCAGAATATTTTCCTTCATTTAATTTTCTGGCATCTTCTTCCTCTTTAAAAAATATGTAATTTTCCTTTGCATACTAGTTCTTACCAGGCCATTGTAAATTTCTCGATATGGAGCTAGACAGTTTTGCAGCTCCCTTTTGAATTTTTGGCTCTTTCAGCAGAAGGGTCTGCATTCAAGAAAAATGAATCGACATTTTCAGCTAAGCTTAGACCTTCTTTTAATTTTTTAATGTTAAATTATTAACTGCACAATGTCATCAGTGCTAGTGTCCTCCTAATCGATTTCTTCAATTTCTTCTGCAACTAATAAATCTTGAATGTCCTCAATAGGCAAATCCACAAAACTTTTGCCTCCAATTTATTTAGCAAGTTCTAATATGCTACCCATTTCATTTTCTGATGCTTCATGCACTTTTTCTATTTCAACTGAAGAGGATCATAACTTTTCCCAACCTGCATTTAGCGTTGATGCTTTCAGTTCTTTCAGCAAGAAAGATATGATGTCAATACATGCTTTATTGAAAATTTCTTCCAAGCTTCCATTACATTAATTGATTTTGAATTGGTTATGTCTGAAATCCACTGTAGCGCTCTTCTTATGTTATATGTTTTAAAGGTATAAATAATACCTTCATCCAATAGATGGCATAACGAAGTAGTGTTGGATGGTTGGAACATTATTTTGATGTTCTGATGATTCAAATCTTGTGGGCGAGATGGAGCATTATCTAATAGTAATAGCACCTTTAAAGCTAAAATTTAAGATCTGGCACAAAACACTTTAAAACTCAATTTTTAAATAAATTTCCAGTTACCCAAGTTCTTGGATTTGCTTTCCAGTATACCGGTAAGGTGTTTTTATTTACGCCGTTAAGTGTACGAGTATTAAAGATCTATAAACTATCATCCCCTGACTCATTTCTGCACAAAAGTAGCACCAGACGATCTTTAGACTCATTAAATCCGGTTGCAGTTTTTTTCTTTTTTCGATGTAAAAGCTCTACTGGGCATTTTTTCCATCAGAGCCCAGTTTGGTCAGCATTGAAAACTTGAGTTACTGTATATTCTTGCAGTTCTATAATATTTTGAATTTTTTCAGGATACATCCTAGCAGCTTCATAATCAGTTGATGCAGATTCTCCTTGAATTCTTATGCTATGAATAGCAAAATGCTTTTTGAAATTTTTGATCCAACCTTTACTTGCCACAAAATCTGGGTTGACACAGGATTCTTTAAGGTTTTTTAGGTGCTTGTAAATTTTGAGTGTTTTTTGTTTAATAATATTACCATCCAGCACAATTCTTTTTTGACAGCTGTCATCAATCCAAATGCTGAGTGCCTTTTCCATCTTGTCAATTATTAGCCTCTGGAGGTGAGCTGCATGTTTTGCAGATGTTGAAGATCCTGCAGCAACTGCTCTTCTTATTTCTTTTTTCTTAATAGTCCAAACTGTCACTTCATTCAAATTAAGACCTTTTCCAATGCGAGATGCCTTTTCTCTTTTTAAAAGACGATACAAGATTTGTGTCTTTACTTCTAAAGAAATAACTTTTTTTTTTTTTTTCTTTAAATCCTTATTGGACATGTTTTGGGACTGAAACTTAATGTCTTAAAGATGAAAAAGTTATTCTTTAGCACACCATGGCTCGATGCAGATAGCTGACCAGTAATTTAAGACACTTTTGTTTCGAGGCCACGGAGATGAGGATCTGAATTTTAGAAGCCGAACGTGCAGGTTGTGTGCATTTTGGAGCTCTTATTGTGACCTCATGTTGTTCAACTTTTATGATAGTGAGGTTTCTTCATTGTTATCTCGTGATTGTGATCTCTTGTTACTTGGTATTGTTTCTATTGTGCAGTTGTGCTTTAAAGGTTATGGAGGGAAATGATTTTCATTCGTTACCAGTTAAGAATTCAGCGGTTGCTCTCCACCATGTGGCTCGTCTTCCTGAGTACATTTGTTCTTATGGGAACTGGATCTTGGAAGACTGGTAGCACTTATGAAACAAGAATTCTTTGGCTCCTTTCACACTGGGGTACAAATGTCATAACTGGTTTAAACCAACATTCGTTGCTAGACAACCAAAACCTTGCTACATCACAAAAACTGGTTTAGGGTCTTTGGCATAAAGTTCAAAGTTTCCAACTTGATATGAAATTCTCGAAGTTTCCAACTTGATATGAAATTCGACCAATCAAAGCGAACACTGAACGGAAAAGCTGTAGACACACATGTGCAAATTTCGCTTCACTAATTGGCTACAGCTTATATCCTGTCTCACAGGTGTTAACAGAACTCACAAATTTTATGCCTTATGACTAAGCCTCTATGACATTTATAAGCCGCTGTCTGAACACAGCTTTATGTGCTAAATGATTATGTGGGTGCTTTGATCAAAATGGAAAAGCTTTGTGCAGAGTTCGTTAAACTTCTTCGGATTGCTCGGGCAATTTTCTTATTGTGTTAGAGTGAAACCATGTTGTAGGAGGGTTCTTGCAGTTTATGAATCATGTAATAGCGAAGTCTTACAGGATGCCATGTTGTAGGAGGGCTACCTGTACAATATTTTTGGGGAAGGCACTTAAAATGCTGGACAATTATTTGGAAGAAATTTGGAACACTGGTAACTTTTATCAAAAAATGCTGTGAATAGCAATTCTAGTTGAGTGTAAGTTAATTTATTCTGTGTAGAATAACGTTACAAAACACCTTTTTTTAACTGCATTATGGAGATGTACGTTTGTATTTGCAAATGATACTTGTCTAGCAAGTAAATGGTCACATTTAACTTCTTGTTTCTGTCTCTCTCCCCTTTTTAATTATCTGGGAAAGCACAATATTTAAAATTATAAATTAAATTATGAAACTGTATTTTATTCATAAATATGAATATTGTGTGTATAGTAGTAAGTACTTGGTTGGAGAATAAAAATGAAACATGAGCCTCACTATTCTTCCTTTCAGACAAGATACCAATATGCAGCATTAAAACAAGTATTGTAGAAAGAAGGTATATTTAGAGACAGACGTATATTATGCAAATGTGGCTCAACCAGCAGCTGAGAGTTAGTTGCTGAACACTTGTAGTTCATCAAGGTTTCAAATCCTGACAAACAGGCTAGCTGCATAGGCATTCGCATGGTGTTCCCCATGTGTAATGTGGATATGCAGCAATTTCCCCCAGAAAGTCCTACAAGAAGGAATCCCTTCCCTTAGGCAGATAGCCATCGAGTACTTTGCCATATTTAAATAAACCAAATCAAACAATTAAGCAAATCTTTTTGCCAAATGGGAATTAAGTTATGAAGGAAAATGAGGTATTAAAATTTAAGCATCTTGACACATTAAAAATTTGCCATTATTTCATAATTTTTCCCCCCTTTCCATTTGACGAAAATTGCCTATTTACCATAATTATAACATTTGCTAAGTTTACAGGTGAGGATTCATTTAATACCATTTATAGTCTTTTAAACATGTGTATTCAGAGAATATGTCAAAAAACCAATCTTATTTTTTATTTTAGGTATACAATTTATCTCAGAATATTCAAGAAAATGATCTTCAGCATTTACAGGTAATTTAATTTTTCTCTCTTGAATAAAAATATATGTACAAATTAGTATATATCTATGATTATGACTTCTTGCTTTGGTATAAGAGTTTTTTTTTTATTTTTTATGTATGTTCAATATTTTTCAATGGAAGTTCTTTAATGTATGTATATTTCACTGTCATGCTAATTCATGTTTTTTTAGTAAAATTTTTTTTAATCCCTTCTTTGCTTAACATTTATTAGGTACGTGCTTTTAAATTTTATGTAACCTTTTAAATTTTCAGCTTTTTACTGAATATGGAAGATTAGCATTAGAAGATACAAAGGAACGTCCCTTTCAGGTTTGAGAGAAAATTTATACAGTTTAAAGGAAATTATTTTTTCATTGTTTGTATTTACATAGTTTAATATATTCTTTTTTATATATATATATATATATAATCATCTTCATAATATACAGTAAAAGAATTTGAGCTTTATTTTATTATTGGTTGTATTAAGTCTTGTCAGATTAAATGAGGAGTACAGTGAATAAAATGTTATCATTTATCTCTCTTTTAACTTGAATGTGAAATTGTATTTTTCCTGGTAAAATTTATATCATTAAAAAAAAAAAAATCAAATGTTGGAAACAAGGTTGGCAAAAGTTCTAAATTATGAAAAGGTTTTTTTTTTAAAAATAAGACAATGTGTGAACTATCAAAGCAAAACATTAAGATAGCCAAAGGACTGGGATGTAAAATAACATTAACTACTCAGGTAACTATGCCCAGTTTTAGTATGGAATACCGGATTAAAGGTATCAAACTGTAATTAACTCTGCTTACCTGTCTTTTTTTATAAAATGATTGATTTAATGTAGTAGTTTTAAATTTCTGATCTCTCAAAGTAAAGTTGTTTACATTAATTACATCTATCATATATCTTAGCCTCGTTTTTTAATTTTATTGTTAACCTTAGAAAATTATTTTAATCAAATAATATCATGCATTGCACATGCCATATATAGTTATGGTTTATTTCTATTTAAGCCTTATTCTAAGTGTTCAGTACACATCCATCTCCTCGATTTTCACTGCCACGCTTATGATCTTACTATAAAATAAGAGCAGCCTTTGTCCTATACTATGGTACACCTTAGTTTAGGACATAGGTAGCCTATTTTAAACTCATTTTGAATTAAAACATCTAACATTTTTTCATATTTTCTGGCATTTGCCATTTTATTTTGCTCTTTCTCGTTTTTTTTTAAAAATCTGGAAAAACTTAGATAAAATTTTCACTAATTTTAATGAAAAAAGACATAAAATACTTTAAAAAGAACTAAAAAAAAAAATAATTTAAAAAATCAAGTATTTTTACCATTTTTCAAACCCATAAAATTTAATTTAGACAAAAAATATTAAAATTTAACCAAAAAACAATGATTTTTTTCCAGTGATCATCAACCTTGAAAAAATGAAAAATATATTAAAAATTGAAAGAGAAACCAGGGTGAAAAATATTTCCCACCCTGAAAAAATTATCATTCATAGTTCCTATTAAATCCCACGTACATCTTAACTTTCCATACATGACTTTCGTAGTGGATGAATGTCAATGAATATTAAGTAAAATTATAAGTAGATTATAATTATAAAAAATTATAGAAATTATAAGTAATCAAGTAGATTAGGCATATTTATATATTTGATAAGTTCATTTAAAATCGGTCGTTTAATTTGTTTCAAAATACAAAATAATGATGAACCACCCTCTTTATATTTTTTACTTGATTTAAAAGTTGTGTTTTACTTAGAATAATTCTTTTACCATTATTAACGTTGATTAATTTGCATTTTTGGTTAAAGATAAATCATAACTGAGGAGTTCTAGTTTGATCAACCTGTAAAGCTATTTCTCATCTCCTGCAGATTTCAATTTATTAATCTGTCCAACACTCAACTGTATTAATCTGTCCAACACTCAAATGTACTTTTTTTCCCCTTATAATTACTCATTTATTAGGATCAAAAACTTATTAAAATATTGTTTCATTCATAGTACCATTTTCTAATAACATAATTAACAATAAAACTATTTGATTAAATATCTTTTTTGGTACCAAACCTATCGGAGGTATTTTATGTGTTAAATCTGATAAAATATCAAAACTATCTAAGCCTTTTCCTGTCATCATTTTTTCTTTGGAAGTGACCCACTCCAAGACCTGGGTTAACTTTTTAATATAAGCATCTATCTGAGTGTTGATGTTTTCGAAGTTAGTTTTTATCTCTCTCTCTGTTTTTCTTTGATAAGTGGGTCCTTCGGTCTTGCAATGGCTGACCCAGATGACCCGATAAGATTTTTCTTTTCATAGACTTTGCGCTATTCATTGCATCTAAAACCGTTTCCTTATTTTCATTAAAAAATTCACTAGGTAATTTAAAACCTAATTCATTAATCAGATTTTTATCAAAACCAGTATCGATAAAAGAATCTAATATATTATTCCCTTTAAGCGTAGTTTGTGTACCTGTTGTAGAATTTTCTTGAAATAAATTTTTTAAATCATATTCAATTTCAGGTCTTGACGATTCTAAAGGTGGAATGGATATATTTTGTAAAACATCTTGAATATTTTTTACAACTTCTTTATTGTATTTCTCAAGAGTAACAGGTGTATGAAATTCATGCAGTACTTTTTGAACTCCTAATTTTTCTCTCAATTGTTCATCTCTAGTTTTTTTTAATTTCTTTATCTAATCTTACTTTTTCAATATTTTGTTTTAATTCCTGTCTAAGTTTTTTTTTTTTTTTTTTTTTTTTTTTCCCCACGTTCTTTTTCTAATTGATTCAAATCCATTATTAACAGGAAATTTACTCAAGTAAAAAATAATTTTAGTCTATTAAAAATAAAATTTACTCAAGTAATTTTACTGATAGTATTCTGAAGTAAACGATAAATTTTTCTAAGTAATTTTCACTTTCATCAATTTTCTTATTTTTTAAATCGAGTAAATTTTCCTGGTCATCTGATATACTCATTCTAATTCGATAAATTCTGGTATTGGAATTATTAACTTTATAAAAGATAAGCTTATCAAATTTTTGAACTATTTTAATGCCTAGCCAATGAGTATTTACAAATGTATGGATAACATTTGTAGAATGATTATTAATTTGCATACCTTTGACTATACTACAATGTACATAAACGATAAGTATTCAATGTCTCCATGAAATGGGCTCACTTGCCATCTTTCTTCATATATTTTTGGTTCAAATCCCAAAACCTTATGGAAATTACCTTCAGATAAATCAGTTTTATAATTTTCAGCTAATTTAATTCTAAATTTATTTTCTTCTATTTTTCCGATTTGAAAAGGAGATATATGTATATATTTTTAAAATTCTTTTTCTCTTTCATTTTCAGGTACCTTAAAATCTTTGTTAAATAGTAAATACAGCATGCGCAAGTTCAACCTGTCCAATGCATAAAATCCACTAGGAATTTTAATTTTAATTCATTCATTTCCATTCCAATAACTAAATATATTGTTGTAAAAATCGTTGATATTGTCCAGGCCACCTCCATACTAAATTCCTGTAAACCAATTTTTGAAAAATGAAGAGGTTTTAAAAATTCTACAGTAAATTCGTGTGAATGATCTTTTTCTTTTTAAGATTAACGTTTTCAATTATTAAGTATACTTTTGACAATAGATGGTGCCACGTATCAACTGAGACAAACTTCAATTTTTACATCATCTGAATATCACAAAGAGTACAAAAATTATAATATATATTAAAAAAAAAAATATAATAAATAAAAAGAATATGTAATAAAAATAAGATATTAAGAAATAGAAATTTTCAAATACAGTTAGTTGAAATAATTTCCGATAATAGAAGGCAGCACATGGCGGATGTAATCCAATGTATTTTTAAATTTACTTTCTCAATAAATACGATTTTTTCCCCTTATAAATGGAGAAGTATTGTTCTATTGCAAAGAATTTAAGCCATTTTCTGAATTTTATCATTATAAGATTAATAAATTACAAAGTTATTGCAAATCTTGTGATAAAATTAATAAATATAAAAAATTATTTGCTAATGTAGAAAATCTTGTTCAAAACTCATTTACAGAGACATTTAAGGAGTCTTTATTATATCAAGAGATCCCCTGAAGTAAAAATACTTTAAAAATTTTTTCTATATAAATGGAGAAGCAAAAACTCAGTGACCTTAGATCTTCTGTGAAACAACTTAGTATTAAATAGCTTAAAGGTGCTAGAAAGGATGACTTAATAAAAATATTGACCAAATATTTAAGAAAAACAGGCAATTATAAATATCTTTTAGTTGATTTGTTAAATATAAATGTAACAAATTATTTAAATAAAAAAAAGAAGAATTTTGATAAACCTAAAAAACTTAATAAAATTAAGAAAATATCTGACTATTTTAATTTAAAGTATGACCATAAAATAAAAGATTTTAAACCAAAAAAAAAAAAAAAAACAGGAACAGACAGATCCTATTGATTTAAGAGGAATTTTTGACCTGATGAGTTATTTATCGAAAGACTACAAAAGCAATTCATCAAACATCCTAAAAAAAAGGAAGTAAAATTTTAAAAAATGTTACATTTATACAATTTGAAAAATTTACTAATAAATTTGAACCTAGAGATAGTAAAAAAAACTTAGATGATTATAATCTAAAAATGTTTTTAAACAGATTTTAAAATTATACATTATGATCATAAATTTGTAAAAAAAGATATGGTGTTTGGAAGAAGTATTATAGGGTCGTAGCATTAAATGATTTAATGTGTGTACAATGTTATGATATTTTGAAGGATTTATTTAGACGTGCAATCGGAAAAATAAGAGGTAAAGTTGATATTATTGTTAATATTCCTTTACTCAATGAACCATTTCATCCTTCTATGATGTCCACTCAGGATGCATTTGAAACATATTTAGATGTTTTGAATCATAGAATTGAGTATAAAGAACTGGATATAACAGAATGTTTATTTCAATTTTCTGTAGTTGAGTTACCAGAAGGAGGTAGTTATTTAAAACTATTGAAAGAAGATATATCCAACAAAATAAGTATCTGTCAGATTAAAAATAATGATAATATTTGTTTACCTAGATCCATAGTAACAGCTCAAAGTATTCAGAATCTTGATCATTTATGTGAAAAATTAAAATGTAAGAAATTAACTAAAAATGATATTAAATATATTAAAATAGGAAGAATATTACAAAAATCATTAGCAGTCAAACTGCATGAAATGTGTGATATTCCTTTAGACGTATGCGATTTAGATGATGGTTAACAGTTT